TCTAATATTTACTAGTAAAGAGCAAGCTATAGTTACTTACTAGGCTCCTTAATATTCCTATTTTAAGTATAATCTCTTTTATAAATATATTAGCTAGCTTCTTAGTATTAATATTTCCTATTATTAGGAGGTATTTAGCTTCCTTAGTATATTAGTTTATAACTATTAAGATAGTATTATACATGCACCCCTTTTATATTAATAGTAGTAAGCCTATAATAAAGTCTAGAGTCAGGTCCTACTAAAGATATTCTAGTACCAGGAGCTTCATGAGCTAGCCTAGTAAAAACTATCTAGGTATCTTTATTTTTTAGTAAATTAGATAGCTCTTTATATACTCCTTAATATTATATTATAGGGTATCTTAATAAAACTTTTATTTAATAAGATTTAATATCTTCTCTTAACTAAAGTAGCTTATATATAGATTATTATAGTGCATCCTTAGTAGTTTTTAGTATACTATTTAATTAAAAAAAATATAGATAGCCTTATTATATTATACTAGCCTATTACTATTAATATACTATCTATTCTTATAAGTTTACCTTTATTTAATATTATTTTTAAGTTACTTTATTACTTCTTATTTAGGTAGTTTCTCTACTATTTAAGTATACCTCTAGTATGCTAGATATTTCTTACTAGTATTACTCTAAATTTAACTTATATAGGCATCCCTATATTATATCTCCTAAAATAAGTCTTATAGAGTAATTAATAGTATCCTATAGGCTTATTTATTACTAGCTGCCCTTTATACTAGTATTCTTTAAGTTAAAAGTTCTAGATCTTTTAATTATATAATTAGGGTTTCTTAAGGAGCTATTATCTTACTCCTACCTTAATTATTCTATAAACCTCCTAGCTTTACCTGAAGTATAAATAAGAATTCCTTAGCTATATCTTATTAGGCAGGTTTATAATCCTTTTACCTTAAAAGTATATTAGCTAGGTTAAGATTACTAGGCTAATATTTAATCTAGAAATTATATACTACTAGAAGCTTAACCTATCTAGTCTAGTATTAATTTAAGGTCTTTATAATATAAAAATATTTTAGATTTATATAATTTATTTATATATATATTATATATAAATTATCTTTAAGATAGTAATATTATACCTTAAAATATTCTACTATAGTTAATAATTCTTAATTATAAGTCTTATATCTTCTCTCTACCTTAATTAATTTCCTTAAGTAAAAGGCTATAGATTACTAAGTAGCATGCTATATTTTTATAGACTAGATATTATTATATTATATTAAGATTCTTATAATTATAAATCTTAATATATTAGTTATTAAGAGTATTTTATTCTCTAGATTAAAATACTATAGTATAGGTAGTCTAGAAAATACCTACTTTAATATCTTAAAGATACTTTAATTATTCTCTATTATCTTAAAGAGGCTACTCTTTCTTCCCTTTACTATCCCCTTTAGTATATTACTTAGTAAGGCAGTAATCTTAGAGTACTAGTAAATAAATCTTTAGAAGTATTCTATAAATCTTAGGAATATTTAAATATTATAGAATAAATATAGTTCTAGCTAGTTACTTATAATATATATTTACTTAGAATTTATTTAGATTTCTTTAATTCTTATAATAAAGCTAAGGAAGTATACTTCCTTCTAGTAGAAATTATACTTTAAAAATTTTATATAGAGATTATACTTCTAGAGATATAATAATACTTTATTAATATAATATTTATATTCTTTCTTTATTTATAAGTAAATTAGGATATTATTTAGGTATATTATATAAAATTTATCCAGGATTTTCTTTATTACTTTATTAATATATACTTAAAAGATAGCTAGGGTATTATATAATCTAAAAGGTATAACTAGATATTTATAATATTTATATTTTATATAAAATATTATCTTTTATTTATTACTCTAATAAATATAAATCTAGTAATAAATATTTTATAAATCTAGTTTAGTAAATTATTTAGCCCTAACTAGTTAGTTTATTAATTTATTAATTTATAGGAGGGAGTATTAGTTCTTAATAATAATTATATTTAAGCCCTTATAATCTATATAGAGCTATAATAATCTATTAGCCTTTTATATAAAAAGTACTAGCATGCCTACTATACTTATTAAGGGCTAGATTTATTCTTTTTCTAATATTTAATTAATATACTCCCTTAAAATTACTAACTCTATCCTTAATATACTATATAGCTGGCCTGTTAATAGTATTATGCTAGTAACTAATAGTATATTATAACTAGCTTTTTTAGAGAGAAGTACCTCTATCTTTTTTTTTAAGAATATTAATTTTTATTCTTTATAGTATTTAGGGAGAGTCCTTATTATACTACTATTATTATATAATTAACTTAAGACTAGTATAGTAATTTCTTGCCTTATTATACTCTTAAATTACTTAGGTAATTTAATCTTAATCTTTAGCTTTTTTTCTTAATAATACCAGGTATTTACTACTAAGAAGATATCAGGATTAACTAGGCTTAACTAGCTATATTCTAGAATTAGTTAATATTCTTTTTTTTCTAAATCTACTATATAATATTCTATATTAAATTTTCTAATTTTATTAAGATTATTTATAATTTAGCTCTTTACCTAGAATCTTACATAGTATAATACTATTAAATTATTAGTAAAATATATAGGTTACTCTATCTTTATCTTATTAAGATTTATTCCCTCTTTAGCTAAGAAATAATAGGAAATAAAGTCCTTATTTACTCTAGTATCTATAAATACTCTTATTATAACCTATTTCTTACCTACTAGGATAGCTATAGTAACTAGGAGGAGTTTTACTAGTACTTCTTTATTTTATTAGAGTACTAGAAATTCTAAAATATTTAATTATTATTAATTCTAGTTCTCTAATTCTCTTACTCCCTTAGTATCTTCTTTATGCTAGAAGTATTTTCTTATAATATAATTAGTTTAATTATACTAGTAGTACTAGCCTTTCTTTTATTAATTCTAGTAATTTTACTACTCCTCTTTTAATTTTTTTTACTAGAATTTATTTAATTAGAGATTTATTACTTTACTATTATCTTTTTTTCTTTTTTTTAAGTTATTCTTTAATACATAAGATTCTAGAAATTAGTTTAGTTATACCTTATTTAGCCTTTTCTATTTCTCTTATTTCTAAAGTTTCTCATACCTTACCCCTAATTTAGTAACTTTAGCTAGATTTTATAATATTATTATATTCTACTAGATTTCCTTATATAATTTAAGCCAGGCTATTTAAATAGCTAGCTAGTAAAGGAATCCTTTAAAATTAACTTTAATTATTAGGATAAACTCTTCTATCTAGGTTATTAAAATTTATATATTCTATTATAGTCCTTATCTTATATATAAGAGCTAGTAAGCTACTATCTACTTATAGTCTTTCTCTAGTTCTAGAAAGTTCTATAGGAACTTAGTAAACTCTATATAAGTAAGTTCTTTGGGGTTTACTCTATACTTAGAATACTATACTTATTTTATATTATCTTTTAGGTAACCTATAGTATAGCAAACTTTTACTATATTATTCTTATAAAGTTTCTCCTATAATCTAAAGTAATTTTAGAAGTCTTCTAGGAAGATATTAAGTTCCTTTAAATTTTATACCTTAAAGAACTTAGGTTTAGGTACCTTCTCTCTACCTATCTATATAGCTTGCACCATATATTAGGCCATGTACTATAGCTTATTATCTTCTATTAACTTAATAAGTTAATACTAGAGAGTTACTAGTACTATTAAACCTTCCTTAATAATAATTTCTAGGACTATAATTATAGATTTTATAGAGTTTAGATCTACTACCCCTTAGAAGGAAGAGTAAATAATCCTTCTTATATTTACTATATTACTTTACTTAGTTAAGGAAGTACTTCAAGTTATAAGTATCTTACTAGCAAGGCACTTAGATATAAGTAGTATTAGTAAAGAAAGTAAAGCTATATAAAGTACAAGAATAATAAGAAGGTATTAAAAGTAATAAAATAAAATACTTGCCTCTTAGTACTTCAGGGGTTATTATATTACTATTTATATTACCTAGTTAAGTCACCAGCACGGCACAGATAACTCAAATATTGCTATTCTCCCAATTACCCTTGGTTACTGGGCATGTGGTTCGGCATGTGGTTCGGCATGTGGTTGCATGTCACGTGGTCGCCGTGACACTATCTCTGTACCTAGTTAGGTACTGAGGGGTGGGGTGCTTTGCTTGCTTGTCTGGGTTATGTTTGGTTGGGTGCTCTCTTCTATAATATACTTAGTTAGTTACTGATATAAGGATAAGATTTATATCATATATTCATATACTCTGTAGAGAGAAAGAGTCTCATGCTATCTTATTGTGTAGATTAACCAGGAATATCCATGGTATGACATGATATCCCTGTATAGTAACTGATATGTCACATCTTATTTTACCTATAAAAACTAGATTCAAAAAGGAAGAAGAAAACTAAGCTGAAACAAAGAGACCAGCCCGGGTATCATTTCTTAGCGTAATAAGTAAAGTACATAAAGAAAAGCACTAAAACAAAGACAACCCCTTGTAACCATCTTAACACTGCAATAATAGTTTTTGTGCCCTATATTTCCACGCAGGGAATTCGCCCAAATGTCCTCTAACAAAGAGAGAGAAAAAAAATCTTATGATGTGACACTTAACTCCCCACACGCCTGTGACCCAAATCCTAACTCCGATTCAAGGATGTGCTGGTGAAATATGGTAAAAAAAAAAAAAAAAAAAAAAAACAAAAAAAAAAAAACAAACAAACAAAAAGGCCAAGGGGGAAACTCCGAGAAAAGAGCAGTCAGTACCCAGAATCATTCCACATATCCCACACATTGGTATCATGCCAACATTAAACAATTTATCAAATCAAGACAGTTTCGCACTTGGTATGGCAGAGTCAAGTCTCCCCATGAAGGGTGGAAGTTTTTTAAACGAGAAGATGAGCTTGACGGGGTGTGGCAATTAGTGAACCGGTTTTCGAGCCTTATTTAGCCATATCTGCCACCATCGTGCGACGCCAAGAACGGCTGCTCGACCATCGTCTTTTCGTTCTGTTCCATCCGGGTTCCCAAGCATCACGGCGAATATCCAGAAAAATGCCGCGGTCCATGCGAGCAGCAGCAAGCCAAAGGACATGAGAGACGATAGGAGAAGAACCATAAGCAACCCGCCAGCCGAGTAGCCTTCAGCACCATCGGTCGCAAATGAACGGTCCGGATCTTGGTATATCGACTGGGTCGATGCTGAGCGAAACGCAGATTGCCGGAGCCCAATTAGTCGCTGATGGATGTGCAGCTGTGGCACCAGAAGATCACATATCTGTGCGCGAAATGACGTCTTTCGAAGATAAGAGATGCAGGATAGGAGTCGAAGAGGTGAAATGAGGAATGCAAAGAGCAGAGCGAAGACGGTATATAACGATGCGACCAGAGCGAAGATGGGAATGGGGAGGGACATGCGAAACTACGGTTCTCAACGGTTAATCAACAGTTACCAAATCTTCCCAAGGGATTCCCAACTCACCAACATCAAGAGAGCATCCTCACTTGCATCCATGGGGGCGTCATCATCTTCGATTGCTCGTTTACGCACGCGAGCGACGACAGGGGTATGGTTCTCGCCCGACATGTATGACGAATGATCAGTCCAACTCCCGCGGACGCGCGCTTCTTTGCGCACGCCTCCGCTGCTATAAGAAGCCCAAGTCAATATGGAACCGTTTTCCCAATAGGACGAGGATACGAACATCACTGGAGCCACCGCTTGATGCTCAATATCGGGGTGGATCCCTTCCACAGACGCTCGATGGAACTGAGAGAATGGTTGCGGTTGCCGATAGGAACGACGGCTGGAATGAGGGTAGGAGGTGTCCCATGGATCGGATGGATGGGGCCTAGAGGTCGAAGTGTGCACGGAGTTGAGTTCCGACGGAGGGAAGTCAACAGTTCCGTCGTGGTCGGCAGTACTCTGTCGTGGTGACGACAGGGCCGTAGGAGGAACGGTTGGGAGGTTTGCAGGATCAGAAAGATATGCAGCCACTAACTGATGCTGGTCCTGGCCGTATGCGGCAGAATGGGACATGTCCGGTTGCCTCATAATGGGCAGACAGAAGAGGGAGGTCAAGGAGAAAAGGGGATGAGGGACAGAGTCAGTGGAGCAATCAAGGGCGCAGCAGAGGTCTGCCCCTCCAAAAAGCAACGCAAGTGACACCAGGTGGTACAAATAGTGCACACAGAGAGCACCAGGGATAGGCTCACAGCATGGCTTTCGAGCAAGGGGGGAGGGGAGGCGGGAGAGATATTCCTGTTGACTTGATAATTGATAATTGATGATGATGATGATGATGATGATCCAACCATTCAGATATCCAAGCAAGCCGGTGTCAAAATGGAAACAAGAGATATGGGAAGCGTGAGGAGGGGAAGGGAAGGGAATGGAAGGGAGGGAGGGAGGGAGGGAGGGATGGATGAAGGGATGGATGAAGGGAGCGGAGAAGGAGGAGAACAGGATGATTATAAAAGGGCCATGGGCCTCAACCTCCTAGGAATATTGTAGAGCGGAAATCCAGGAAAAGATGGATGACAGGAGGAGTCTTGTCAAAGACAATTCGCAGCGGAAGGGGAAAGTGCTGGTCTGCTGCTTTTTTGCTGCCAAGACGCCCAGATGCCGAGCCCTTGGCATTTAAACGACGTGAGGGAGAAAAAAGCTAAAAGAAAAAAAAAGAAACGGCTGTCATATATGTGATCAAGATGATCAGTTGGATCAGGGTCTTTGACAGGAGAGGTGGTGGTTGTGTGCTGAGGAAAGGGGGCCAAAGAGTAGGCTCCAAGGAAACGCTAGAGACATATGTGTTATATAGATAGGTATCTGGAAGCACCTGCAGGAAGAAGAAGATGATGATTATGATGATGATGATGATGATGATAATGATGACAATTATGATTGTTATTAACTCAGTTAGGGACCTAGGTAGTTTCCGCAACTTTAAAGAAGAACGAAAAGAACCTGCAACCATTCTCAAGTTATGACAGAAGGAAGAAAAAAAGCTGCCGTGTTCAGCCTGGATTACCATACGGTTACCACATGCCAAGATGCCAAGATCTATGCGGCGGTTTACAGAGAAGGTGATTGGTCGAGAGTGCTCACACGGGGTCGAGGATCCGCGTTCGGAGGCTGGCCTGGTTGTCTTGGCGGTATTACATCCAGACGGGTTCGAATTCCAGCAGATCTCCTGATACTGCAAGATGGTAGGGTTCAGTCCACATCATTACCTAGGTCCTAGGTAGTCAAGAAATCTATCTCTATAACAAAGCTGCCTAGATTAATTAGATACCTACTGGGAAGTAGTACACCCTCAGAAACGCCCGAGATGACTAGTCTGAATCCCCCATCCTGCTATTGGTTGGTTCGCGCTGCCCAGGCGCTAGGTCGGTAATTTTGGAAGGACTACTACGGAGTCCATAGTACTAGTTACTCTGTGCTACAGCCCGGTAGGACTGGTATACATTTAGGTAACCGGTTCCTTCTAGCCGATCTTACTTTTCTCGACAGGAGTCTCATACCTACCTAAGGTATAACTACCTATTAGGTATCTCATCTTCTGTTTCAGTTTACATCAACCCGCTCGCATTGCCATTCTAGATAAGTTTTGCATCTATTCCACATCATGCTCAACCTCGGAGTTATTGACTGAAGGACTCCTCAATGCCCAGCCCTGCGCCCCAGCCCGCCGAGAGATTGGCATCATCAACACCTCCGTCTGAGTCCTGACCACCATTTGCCCTCGGACCCAGCAGGATGTACCTGATTCCTCTTTTAATATCGTACTCTTTTCTCCGAAAGGAAATGACGGACTCGACCAGGTGTATATTGGCTCAATCTCGAGGATACTGAGTATGGACTCAGTTCACAATATCCTGAACCCCCTTTTAGGACACCAAAGACTATGAGAGAGAGAGAGAGAGAGAGAGGGGTGTCTATGTGGAGACACGCAACCCTCCAAGCCCTTAGTTGTCTCGGAGGCTGCCAGTCGTTTTATCGACCCTTCTTCCGCATGGTAGACATGTGTGGCTTTTGCGTGACGTGGGAGACCCCCTATCTCCGGCGGGCAATATTCTAGTCGGGGTCTCTAAAATCTTCCTACGGCGTACAGAGTCCAGAGTACGTGCTGTTGGCTCACTTTCCCCAGATGGTCCTGGTCGGTTCCGCCTAGGCATGAGGGGGAATCACATTCCTGCCGCCGTGTAATCCTTGGCTAGTGATCTTCCTCACCATAAATGAGTCAAAAGTCTTGGCCATGCTAATTAATTTGGGGAAATCTTTTCTCTCCAGATTCCGGCCGCTGGTTTGGCGTCTGCGTTAAGGCGTGGTGATCCTGTCGATCTTCACACAAGAAAAAGAGAGTATGCGCAACCCTGAGTATACACCGCATAGAGTAGGAACCTATAAATTCGACGTGATGTGATACCTTAATTAGGGCTGTGATAGTGCCTAACCAGTTGAACCTTGGGACTCTTTATTTACGTTGATCTGGCGCAAGCTCAGTGTACTCCAACATACCGTGGATAATACCTAGGTAGCTCACGAGAACAACTTCAAATAGTTCTACCCTCCCAGACAACAACCGCCATAAAGTTCCAGAAAGACGCGCAATCATCCACACCCCAATTTATAGTCCTCTCTTCCTGTTTGGTACAGAGTACGGAGCACATACTGGACGCGTCGCTAACCTTTGAAAAACTTGGCGTTAGTCCGACCGCACGGTCTTTCATAGTACTACTACTAGCTTAGAAAGTTAGAAGTCTACGTGATCAACATCTTGTCCCCACGTTGGTTGCCAGGGTAGGAAAGCGAATCCTTGCGCCTGCGGCAATCAATGGCTCCAATTGATCGTCCCGCGGGACAAATATTGTCAAATGTCAAGAGTGCCGGTCTTCCGAGGAGTCTGGTTGCTGATCGACTTGCTCGGGATTTGATATTTCTTTGGCATGGGCTGTCCAACGAGGTTGGAGATCATGCCACGCCAAGGAAGAAATAATCTAGATTAGGTACTATGAGCCTGAGAAAGTATGCCCGGAGGTTGTTGCATCTGGGATATTAATAATATATATCCTCGCGCAGCAATATAGTTAATGAGACCTAGGGAATCAAGCCTTGGGAGCCTCAGGCAATGAACCCGTTTGGTACTGAACCCCTCCAACAGGCGAGGACGACCCTCTCGTCGCTCTGGTATGTATTTCTACTGTTCTAGGAGTAAGTGTATACGGTCAAAATAAATCAAGGCTGTTCGGGTTAGTCGGGTTTCGTTTCTACAGAGCCGTCCAGTGTCTGGTTATCATCTCCCTTCAGACGAAATGTCTACGATAGAGGGGGTTTGTTAGATTGTTGTCATGGTATGGGGTTAAAGAATGATAATCAGATAGCTTTCTCTTTTTGATCCTTTTGTCATTCTTAACGTTGTAGTGGTGATGGTGATGGGTCAGGAATAGTAAGATGTTTTCACTCTTATTATTTTTTTTTTTTTGGTGGTCATGGAGACATAATATATATATATATATATATAAGAGAGTATGTACATGATAAACAGCATAGAGGGAAATATCAAGTAGAAAGTCTCTAAAGATCAATCTACTCAGGTAGTAATTCTCAAGGTCAAACAGCCCCAGTTTCATTTCTCTTGTGTCAGTGTCACCTACAGGAAACAGTTCAGCAAAAATTCTTCCTTTCTTTCGCGTCCATCTCCCCTTTACCAACAGGGCAGAGGAGATTTCTTGTGGTACACAAGACAAAAGCAAGTGACACGACACATCCATTCATCAGTTGTGAGACATTTTCAGACCCCTACATTGTCAATGCAGCGGACAGCAGCACAACAGATGAAGGTGGAGATTGCATGATGCTGTACAACCTAAACCATTGACTGGAAATGCACCATGACAGCCGGGAGTTTCTTTTCTTTTCCTGTTCTAGGAGGGGGGGGGGCCAGGGGTTGATTGTTTCTATCATTTCTAGGTACAGTACACTAATTAGGGTAGCCATCAGATAGGTATGTTGTACGGATTGCAGTAGTAATGCATGCTAGGAAAGTATACAATCCATCCATATCCACAGTACTCATCAGGTAGCAGCGGATTGACTGTAAATCAGTCTGTAGGGCACATATTCAGATTTTAGCATGAAACATGACATACGGAATAATTTCTATTGTTCTCTGTCTACCAGCCTAACTAGGTAATCTACGGAGTACCTAAGCCTTACTACAGTAATCCTGTATCCCTGGACACACAAAAAATGAGATCCATCCTACCTCGATCATGATCGATTGAGAAACCAGCCCACGAGCCTGTCAATCTCAGCCCCCAGAAGAACCAAATTATGTATCCAAAAAAAAAAAAAAAAAAAAAAAAAAAGGTTCAGCCCGGGCAACTTGTTTGTGGAGTCACATGACGCACACACACACACACGACACCGCCTTTTCACCCGATCGCTCCCCTTCCCTCCAGCCCAGCTTCAGATTACAGTTTCTATAACTAACTAGCCTACTGGTAGGTATTTCTGTCTAGCTTTGAAGAAGTGACAGACAGGCCTCGAGTCTCGTGACTTTCTTGAGGTCTTCTCGGTTCTACCAAGTGTGACAAAAGTGACTCGTAGGAGTCAAAGTGGACTGTGTGGATCGGTACCAAAAACCCATTGTTTTGAAAGTGGGGATTTTCATATAGAGGCTAGAATTAGATATCATGATGATGTCGGGGTTTCGTGGATTGATCGGTTCTCGAAACTTAGTTACCTGGCAGAGAAACCTTGATGAACACGGGGTTCTGGAGACATTAAATGTGAAATAATGTTAAATGTTATTGTTATTGTTGGTGGGTTGGTTGAGTTGGGTTGGGGGAACGCAACGAACGGACGGACATCCCGGGTGTCTGAGGAGGATTACGTATACGAGGCGGCTAGGGTGGCTTTTTTCCGCGCCCTGGATTGGGGAAGCTAATACCTTTTTTTTTTTTTTTCTCATTTAATCCGATAAGTTATTGATATAGTATAGAAACTATGGAGTACCTAAATACACGAGTTAATTACCTAGTTGGAAATGAAAT